CTGCAGCTTCGAAGAAGACTCCGGATTTTCCATCCACACTCGTTGACACAAGACAAAATTGCTTCATGCATAAGAAGCCTGGAATCGAAGACGACGCCAAGAAGCGTCAAAAAAATATATCCAAAAGGCCGGCTGCGCGAGATAATGTGCACGCTTTCCTTTCCAGGATCGAAAACAACCCTGTTAGCTTCGCCCCAGCTGCGAAGGGAACTTTGGCATTCACCTAACATGCGATGCGCCTGGTCGTCTGTAACACTATTATCAACCGCGCGGAGAGCACTAAGGTCGTCAGCATAAACCAATTCTTCGAATCCTGTGGCACGAACCGCCATACAAGAATCTGAAAAATACGTTCCAAAGCGGCGGTCCAAGCACAGTGCCTTGGTAAATCATATTTTCCATGCGGACCGGATCTGATTGCTTGTCCTGTACGATGATTCGCGCCGTGCGCTTATCCAGCCAGCTAGCAAGAACACCAAGCACGCTTTCAGGGACAGAGAAGCCGCGCAGCTTGGCGAGCAGACGGGGCACATCGACTCGATCGAAGGCACCACTGACGTCAGAGCAATACAAGAGGACGCGGCGGCCAGAGGAAAGAGCACTGATGCATTGCAAAACAAAATATAAGATTGCATCGCGCGCCCCTCTGCCGGGAATGCAGGCGAACTGACGCGCGCCATAAGCGCCAAACCTGTCCAGCTGCGGGCTGAAGAGTTGTAAAAACATGCGCTCCACGACCTTCGAAAGCTGAGCGGTCAACTGGATGCCCCGGTAGTTGTCCGGACAGCTAACTGCAAGCTTCTTGTGAAGAGGGTGGACCCAGTGCTCTCTCCAAGGCAACGGTCACAGACCAGCTCTTAAAATAAGACGGGCAAGGTTAGCGACAGGCACTGCCAAACTAGAGCTGCACTGCTTCAGAACCCTCGCGGGCAAGAGGTCGGAACCCGTGCCGCTGTCCTGTCGGAGGGGCGACAGCGCGGCGCGAGCAGACCGAGTACGAAGAATGCAAGTTCCCCACTGCGTAGGCAGAATCATAATAGCAGAGCAGTCAGAAAATTCGTTAACTACAGGTGTTGGCAGACGCCACGTTTGACTGAAAGCTCTGGCAAAGAGGTCGGCCTTGGCACGTGCAGAAAGAGCCCACGTACCATCAGGACGCTTCAAAGGGGAAGGAGTAGGCTTGTGGACGTGAGACAGCAGCTGATGTGAAACTGCCACCATTTTTTGATGCCCCGGCCACAACCGCGCAACTTCTGACGCGCGCGGGTCGTGTAAGATTGAACAGCCTTCAACATCACTGCGCTGCAATGAACGACTGCCGCCGGAAAAGCGGCCGTACCGGCAGCATCGCGCTTAGCACGCACTGCCAGTAAACATTAATCAGACAGCCAGGGATGTGAAACTTGCACGCTCTGCTTAATCGACGGAATATATAAACCCTGCTGAGAAAGGCGCTGTTGTATAGATCTCCAATCTGCGCTTTGAAACAACCATAAACGTCGTTCACCGTATTCAAAAGACAACGGCGGCATACAAACAGAAGCAAGCGTAGCACTATGATCAGCTACTTCAATTAAAACCTTCGTAGTGATTAGATCTGGAACGTCAGACAAGAAAAGATCAAGGAAGTGAGGACCCCGAGTAGGAGCGCGAATACACTCGCGAAAACCGCGCTCCACACACCAATTCTTCAAAGCGGTGTCCTTAGGGGATACATGGCTGCTGAATCGCAGCCAATGTTTGTGATGAACATTCATACCTCCTGTGATTATAGAACCTATGCACTGTCCGGCAAAAGAACTCCATTCTTCACTAAGCGATTCTATCGAATTTGTCTCTCCATGACACGGGCGACGATACCGACAAATTAAAGGCCCCGTCTCAGTGCGCATTAAAATCCACACGCGCTCCGCAGACGGAGAACGAAGAAGAACAGAACAGGAGTCAACTACGGAATCTTTTGCAAATATAGCAACGCCTCCGCCTAGACCATCCCGGTCCCGACGGGCAACCTGTCGCGGCCAGAAAGACAACCCAATGCCTTTCCGACACCTTTTCCAGCGATCATGCTCGGCGTCAGCAGACAGCGCGGCAGCGGCAGCACTGGACACGGCACGAACTGGAAGAGAAAACAAAACTGCGGTGGTAAACCGCCCCAGCGACAGGCGAATATAACCGCAATGAAGAAGTTGATTTTGTTGAACTCGTGCCAAAGCTTCAGCCACAACAGCTTGAGCCACAACAGCTCGAGCCAACTCACACCAAGGTGAGAAACCCCAGACTCAAATCGCGAGGAGCGCATTCCCCCCCTTCTCCTCTGCCTCGCCCTTTCCCCGCCCCCCCCCCCAAAACAAGAAGGATGTACAAGGAGGCGGGGGAGATGTGCAGGGTTAAGCGAACACAGGCCTGACAAACACCACTGTCGGCATGCTTCGCAAAAGTTGCTGCTGCGAGATGGGCTGGTGGGGATACGCGAAGCGTACAAAATTGTTGGTATATACCCAGAAAATCTCTCACGCTTTGTGGCTGCGCAACATTCGATGGAATCATCCTTAAAAAGCAGCCAAACGATTCTATCTTTGTCTTTGAGTACGTATTTTTTTCTACGCACCTCGCAAAGAATGACCAAGCCACACTGAAGTCTCAACATAATCTCAATGCACAAGAAAATGACAGCTTAAAGAATTGCGGGAGGACGAAGGAGGGAGACCAACACAAACACGCCTCATCTTCACGCTGTAAACTTCCGGATCGCTCGGAAGCAGCACGGCCGGCCGAACGCCGGTAGGAGAGGCTATCAAAATGCGGCAAAACACCTAGGGAAAGCGGAAGGGAGGAGGAGGAAGAAGGAATGGTAGGAGGGGGGGAGGGAGGGAGGGAGGAGGAAGGAACAGCAGCAGACGACAAACGACGGGGAAAGAAAACCCTAAACCCTAAACCCTAAAACCTAAACCCTAAGCCTAAAAGCCTAAAAGCCTAAAACCCCCAAACCCTAAAACCTAAAACCCTAAAGCCCTAAGCCTTAAAACCCTAAAACCCTAAAGCCCTAGAGCCCTGAAGCCCTAAAGCCCTCAAAACCCTAAAACCTTAAAACCCTAAAACCCTAAAACCCTAAAGCCCTGAAGCCCTAAAACCCTAAAACCCCAAACCCTAAAACCCTAAAGCCCTAAAGCCCTAAAGCCTCAAAAACCTAAAACCCTAAAACTCTAAAGCCTTAAAACCCTAAAGCCCTAACACCCTAAGACCTTAACCGTAAAACCCTAAAACCCTAAAACTCTAGAGCACTAGAGCCCTGAAACCCAAAACCGTAAAACCCTAAACCCTAAAACCCTAAAGCCTTAAAGCCCTAAAACCTTAAAACCTAAAACCCTAAAACTCTAAAAACCTTAATGCCCTAAAGCTCTAAAACCCTGAACCCTAAAACCCTAAACCCTAAAACCCTAAAACCCTAAAACCCTAAAGCCCTAAAACCCTATAGTCCTAAAACCCTAAAACTCTAACCCTAAAACCTAAACCTAAATCCCTGGAAACCCTGAAACCCTAAAACCCTAAAGCCCTGAAACCCTAAAACCCTAAAACCCTGAAACCCTAAAACCCTAAACACTACAACCCTGCAACCGAATTCAATGCAACACCTCTGAAAAAACTTGGTCCCAAGCTATGAATACCGGATGCCATATCACAACGAATAAGGAACAACGGCATCAAAAAAATAAGTTTGCAAGACAGTGCGAAACGCTCTCTTCAGAAAAACATACAAACCAATTGCACAAGAGAAAAGGGGGGGGGAAGGAAACGACAAACACGGCAAATGCGCAATGCGTGCGGCTTTGAACCGCAGGCAGGGCGCCATTCCCGTTCGCCCTCTTCCTCCTTCTTTTCCTCTCCCTGTTGCTCCTTCTCCCCCTTCAAGAGTTGGCGGCGTTGCCAATAATCAGCGCAACTTGCATTATTACTTTAACCGTTCTCCACAGAGTGTGCCTCGAGACAGGGTGCCGCGCGAATCCGGCACCTCACTGTCTCTCGCAGCTTTTGACCTCACCATTGTACATGTGAATACCCGAGGCTTTTCCGATAAGCACAAGGCTGAGCTTGAAGCCCGGCTTCGCCTCTTCCCATCTCTTCCCGTCCTTGTTTTTCTGAATGAGACGTGGCTTGATTCTTCTTGTCCGTACCCTGGTCTCACACATTATTCCATTCTTGTTCGCAGAGATCGTGTATCGAGTGCTCGTGGTGGAATCTTAGTGTATGTGTTGTCCTCTTTTGGCCACCTCTTCTCTCCCCTATCCAAATCGTCTATTGCCGAGCTTGCATGGTGTTTATTTCATTCCGATTGCGGTCCTATTCTTCTTGGTTGCATGTATCGACCGCCGTGCCACGGGGAGATTGTGAGTCTTCAGGCCTTGTTTGATGAATGGGGGGTCCATTCCCCGCTGGCTGTAGGCAGCTTGTTGATTGGATATTTTAACGTGCACCAGAAGGAATGGTTATATTACTCCAACCGCTCCAGCCCGGAAGGGGCGTTTATGCAGCAGATGTGCACTTCGCGCGTTTTTTTTTCGAGAAGGTGAAAAAACCTACTCGCAATCGCCACTTGCTTGATTTAGTCTTGACAGATATACCAGACATCGTGAATGTAGAAGTCTCGGCAACGATCGCCGACCACAGTGTTGTATTAGTGCATGTTGTTCTCCCACCTTTGTCTGTTGTCTCTTCTCGAAGACAGGTGTGGGATTTCAAGTTTGCCAATTGGAGAGTTATCAAGCAACGCATTCGTTCTGAAGGGTGGGATTGGATCGACAGTGCCACTCCTAACGCAGCAGCTCATTTTTTATGTTGTTTTTTATTCTCTTTAATGCAGCAGTTTATCCCTCAGCGCACAATTGAGTCTCGCTCGACACATCCTTGGCTCGACACACAGGCGTTAGCTCCTGTTTCCGCGAAGGTCGCTGCCGAGGGAACCGCGGATTTCCCACGCGCCGTTTCTCGGTGTAGCGCAGGTTTGCTCTCAGCGTTTGAACGATACACCTTTCGTGTTCGGTCTCGTCTCCATAGGCTCCGACGCGGTTCAAAGCAGTGGTGGCACTTGTCCCGGGAGCTTTTGTCTAAAACGCGTCACGTTTCCGGGCATCCTTTGAAAGCGCCAGGGGGGGAGTGGATGATCCATCCTCGCGATAAGGCCAATCTGTTTGCGAGCACTTTCAGTAGCACCTGGACGCTACCATCGTTGAGTCAAAACGAATTCAGCGCCGTGCCGCCGTCTGCTCTCACTGATTCGTTCATTCCTCTCCGTAGGCGGTCAGCTTTGAAAATCTTGGGAGCGCTCCGCGTAGACAGCGGCACAGGCCCAGATCGAATACCGGCTCGTCTTTTAAAATTTTGCGCTGAAGCTCTTAGTGTTCCTTTCACGAAGCTCGCAAGGCGCATTGTCAATACAGGTGAGTGGCCTGCCGCGTGGACTGCACACTGGATTTACCCGCTGCACAAAAAGTTGTCTGTCCACGACCCGGCGCACTATAGAGGGATACAGCTTACGACCCAGATTTCGAAAGTCATGGAGCGTTTTCTTGCGGAACAGTTTGTGCCGAAATCGATTTCGCATGGACTGTTTGGCCAGTTTCAGTTTGCCTACTCTCCAGGCCGTGGGGCCCGTGATGCGTTGCTCTGGCTAGTGCTCTTCTGTTTAACTTCTTTCGCTGCTGGCCGCCGTGTCGGTTTCTACAAATCTGACGTGTCAAGAGCGTTCGACAGAGTTTCCAAAGAGCGCCTGCTATGTAAGTTAGCTTTCGCCCCTATCCCGCGCCGGTTGCACAAGGTAATCGAAAGCTGGCTGGCCCCCCGGTCTGCCCAGGTAGTAGTTTCTGGCGAGCACTCTGATTTAATTGCAATGACAAATATGATCTATCAGGGCACTGTGTTCGGCCCTCCGTTGTGAACATTTTCTTCCATGACGCCGCCGCCGCCGTCCAACAGGGAGGTTTTCAAGAGCTGGTTTTTGCTGACGATCTGAATGCTGTAAAGGCTTACCCGGGTGCCACCACTAACGCTTGCATCCTGAATGCTCTGTCTGAGTGCCAACTTCTTCTTCACTCGTGAGGACAGGCGAACGCGGTTTTGTTCGATGCCGGAAAAGAAAACCAGCATGTTTTAAGTCATCGCCACCCGCATGGTGAGTCCTTTAAACTGTTAGGAATTCACTTTGACTGCCGTCTTCGTATGCATCAGGCTGTGGAAGAAACGGCAGCGATTTGTCATGCACGAACTATGTGTTTGCTTCGTTCCCGTAGGTACCACTCTGTGCCTGAGCTCGTGCTGTTGTTCAAGAGTCACGTGCTGTCTTTCGCTGAATACCGGGCGCCTGCATTGGCCCACGTGTGCACAGCCACGCTGAGCGTGCTAGACGCAAATCAGGACAGGTTTTTGCGAGCTGTGGGGATCTCTGCCCGCGATGCATGCGTTCATTTCAGATTGGCGCCGCTCGCCACTCGCAGAGATATGGCCATCCTCGGGGTTCTTCAGGTCGGCCTTAGGAGTGGGCCCCTATGTTTCAAGATTTTTTCCGGATCGACCGTTCTCCTCCCCCTCGCTCTCCTCGCCGCCATCTTCGGCACCTTGTCGACCCCTGGGATTCGAGCGCAGAATTTCGTATTGCAGTCTGCTCTCGGAGGGGTCCGGTTACATATCATCGCTGCTGCCCCCTCTGTTCAAGAATGTCAGACCAGGCTTGGTTCTCTAGTGCGCTACAGAGCACACGCCAGCTGCGCTGACTGGGATAAATCATTTGTGCTGGCGAGTTCCCATGCACAGCCACAGTTTGCGAGGCATGCGCGTCGGGGAAATTTAAGATCGCATTTTCATGTTAGCTCGCTTTCCCCCTTCCTTGTCTTCTCTCGCTCCTTTCTCCTCCTTCCTTCCTCCTTCCTTCTCGCTCCTGTCTTGTCTTGGTTTGATCGGTTGTGTCTGTTTTGTCTTTTGGCTCCTGGAACGCTGGCTTGGGCAAGCCAACAATCGAACGGCGCTGCGCCCTGCGTGTGTCGCCAAGCGACAGAATGCAAAGCGATATGCTGTCATGACAATGGTGAATCGTTGGTGCGTTGCCGAGGTTTGAGAGAAAATGTAATAATGATAATAAAATAATAATAATAAATGAAAAAAATGTGTCTGACGCAGGCGAGAAAAATCACCGCAAAATATACAGCAGAGATTCTGCGAATTTGTAATGCCAAATTTCTCGATGTTGTGGAACGCATGATGATACGTATTCCTTTCTGAAATCAATACGCAAAATATTCCCATCGTTTGGGCGTGTTGCACACGTTTCGACAAAAGAACATCATTAGAAACATTGATTCGGCGTGAAATCGCAATCGTATCTATAATATACTACCATTATGGTTGTTTTCTGAGAAATCGATACATTTTTTCTGTCTGCGTGGTTGTTTCTCGTTTCGGCAAAGAAAAAAAATCAAAACCATCAATGAATTCTGATTCGATACATATCTGCGTTACCAAAAAAATATCTGAACGGAATAAAAAAAATTAGAGAATATGTTATATTGAAAAACAAATTGTCCCGCCGAAAACTAAATACGACATTTACTAGGTTATAATCGATTTTACATTACTCACCATGAATCGTTGCTCGATGTTATGCTTCTGTGGGAATATGGCAAACAACAAAACACAAAAACCTCGCATGCGTGTTTTCCGGCATAATTATCACAAATGCGTAATACAAAAACGCTTATATGTTATCAAACCTCTATTTGAAAATAACTAAATCGATAATATAAATTTTTAATCGATTTGTAAAACGTGTGTGTGAAAAAAATACTGATGCATCGTTTGTTAGAACACATAATAAACAAGGGTATAAATGTAAAGTTAACGGCCAATAAAAAAATAATGAAATATATATCAATCTAACTGACAAACTATTGAAATCGACTTGGTTACAAACATCATTGTAATCAAAATATTCACAACGTTCTAATTTTAAAAAACAATTTTTTCAACTTATTCGAATGCCTTAAACGTGATTTCTAAACATTCTGCTCCAAATTCGATGTATAATGTGACAAACTTAATACAACAAATGTGCGAACTTATTTCCAAACAGATTAAAATTGCTGATTCTGATTATTAAAAACTGCAATTAAAATGGAAAAACAAACAAAAGAATGCTTAACAAAACAACAAAACTGTCACACAAATTGAAAAAAAAACATCATTAGATTAAATTCCAATATAATCCGAAAACATTCCCATCGACAGAACACGATCCGCAATTGTACAGAATATACATATACATATATGCAAAACTGTACTGGAAACTACACGTAACCCCCTAACATGGAAATCCATCCTACCAAAACACGCCTGCAAAAACGAATGAATTCTTTAAAAACCTATTTTCGTGAAATGGTGTGTTTCAACTTCTTCATTAAACATAACATCGCACCCAACACTTTAATTTTCTGTCTATCGTTCTTCGATCAAACACCAATAGATGCGCGGCTTTTCGAAGTAGGCGTGATTTCGCTGATCGATATCATTCTGAGTGAGGGTATAAGCCTTGGACAAACACGTAATTTTTCTGAGAAACCGCGTACCTGTTCACAAACGCATATGTTTTGTGAGCTAACGTGTTGTCCCTAAACAGAGATATGGTTTCCCTGGAACACGGTATTTCCTTGAACTGAATGTCATTATTCTCCGTGAACAAAACTATCGTACGCGAATGCGCGGCACTTCTAAAACCAACATACTGTGTTGTAATCAAATCTGTTTTTTTTTCTGAACGAACGTGCTATTTCGCTGAGAAAACGCGCGTAAGCGTAGTAATAATTAACATATTCTTTGTTGTGGTACTAATCGTAGTAACAATAAACGTAATAATAATAATAATAATATAAGAAAAGTAGTAGTAAGAATTATAGTGACAATAGTAGCAGTACTAGTAATAGTAATAGTAATAGTAGTAGTGATAACAAGAATTCTAGTAATAATAGTAGTATAGCAATAGTAGTAGTTGTAGTAATAATAGTAAAAGTAATAGTAGTAAGAGTAATAGTAGTAGTAGTAGTAGTAGTAGTAGTAGTAGTAGTAGTAGTAGTAGTAGTAGTAGTAGTAGTAGTAGTAGTAGTAAAGTAGTAATGGTAGTAGTGGTAGTAGTAGTAGTAGTAGTAGTAGTAGTAGTAGTAGTAGTAGTAGTAGTAGTAGTAGTAGTAGTAGTAGTAGTAGTAGTAGTAGTAGTAGTAGTAGTAGTAGTAGTAGTAGTAGTAGTAGTAGTAGTAGTAGTAGTAGTAGTAGTAGTAGTAGTAGTAGTCGTAGTCGTAGTCGTAGAAGTGTCGTAGTCGTCGTAGTAGTAGTAGTAGTGAGTAGTCGTAGTCGTAGGAGTAGGAGTGTTAGTTAGTAGTAGTAGTGAGTAGTAGTATATAGTTAGTTAGTAGTAGTAGTAGTAGGTAGTTAGTAGGTTAGTAGTAGTAGTAGTAGTGTAGTAGATAGTAGTTAGTAGTAGTGTATAATAGTAGTAGTAGTAGTAATTAGTAGTAGTCTAGTTGTAGTAGTAGTAGTCGTCGTAGTAGTAGTAGGAATAGTAGTAGTAGTAGGGAGTTAGTAGAATAGTAGTAGTAGTAGCAGTAGTAGTCGGAGTAGTAGAGTAGTAGTAGTAGATAAGGAGTAGTAGTCGTAGTCGTAGTCGTAGTCGTAGTAGTAGTAGTAGTAGTCGTAGTCGTAGTCGTAGTCGTAGTCGTAGTAGTAGTAGTAGTAGTAGTAGTAGTAAAATTAGTAGTAGTAGTCGTAGTAGTAGTAGTCGTCGTAGTAGGCGTAGCAGTATTCAATAATAGTACTAGGAATAGTAGCAGGCATAGTAGTAGTAGTAGTAGTAGTAGTAGTAGTAGTAGTAGTAGTAGTAGTAGTAGTAGTAGTAGTAGTCATAGTAGTAGTAGTAGTAGTAGTAGTAGTAGTAGTAGTAGTAGTAGTAGTAGTAGTGGTGGTAGTAGTAGTAGTCGTAGTGGTAGTAGTAGTAGTAGTAGTAGTAGTAGTTGTAGTAG